CGCCCGAGAGAGAGAGAGAGAGAGAGAGAGAGAGAGAGAGAGAGAGAGAGAGAGAGAGAGAGGGCACACGTATCGGATTCGGCACTCGTTTTATGCGTCGCACAGTGGGGAATAATCGGAGCGGAAATTCACCGGGCATTGTTTCTGCTGGCGCAGTTCACTCGACGCCGTAGACTCTGTCATTCGAGCCGCTCGCTCGTTCCTGCTCGTCATCGTCATTATCATTGTTATCAACCCCCTCCCTCGTACCATCCTGTCGTCGTCGTCGGCGTCGTCATCGTCGTCGTCGTCCTCCTCCCTGCTAGACACGCGACAAATGACGATCTCACCGGGGTGAAACCGGAGAGAAGCTGTTTTATTTTTCTTCCCCTCGCTCTCTCCTCTTTTTCTACCTCCCCTCTTTTCACCTCCGCCCAGAAGCCTTTTTTTTTGCCTTTTATCTTGCCCACTTCTCGTCGATCGTCGTCTTCGCGTGTGCACGAGAGCTTTTTGCGATTGCGCTTCGATGCTGGCCGATGCTGCTGGTGATTACTTATCTCTCTTTCTTTCTTTCTCTCTCTTTTTGTTTTTATTACTCTTTGATAGTAGCAGAAGTAATATTTCTTGTTGATAAAATTGAAAAATTCGTATTATTTTATGTATTAAAATTTTATATTGAAATTTTAATTTTCTCCAATTCTAGAAGATTTTTGAATAATGGTGTTTTTTTTTTCTTCTTTTTTATGATGATTCTGTGATGATATGGAGTATGTTTGGAACAATGGAGTAATTATTATCGCGACAGAATTGATTTCGAGAATAGAATTCGAAATTGGAATTGCAACACAGACATATCCAATATTATCCCCAATTTTTACTCTTTCCAAATACCAATCTCATTCTCGAGGCAGAAGATAACCAGAAAATTCTCTAATTTTTCAAAAATCAATCACCCTCTTTCCCACTTCCGTCGAGATATAAAATCAATCAAGAACAACCGCAACGTATTATAAAATAAGAGACAAAAATATCCTGAAACTTTCAAATCGTTGAATAAATTCGACCATCGCCCCCCCCTTCCTCTTCAGGTATCATCGACTCGCCCCGTTTCCAACTCGTTCAACGCGTCTCTGTCGCTCGTCGACCGCCCCTCTCTCTCCTCGTCAACGAGCTTTTGTTCGTCTTCGTCCCACCCTCTCGAGGGACACAGGAAACAATGTCATCTATCTTCCGCCCGTG